ATGTCTATCTACTGTTTAAGTCCTAGTTTATGTTTAAATTAAGTAAGTAAAGATTTTTTAAAAGCTTTTTTTTTTTAAGTTTAAGTAGTTGTTAAATTATTTTATATAGCCTATTTTAGTAAAAGGCCTAGCTTATTAGCCTTACTTAGGTAGTTTTTTTTTAAGTTATTAAAAAGTAGGTTTAGAGACCTTCTATATTAAGTGCTACTTAGGTGTTATTTAAGTGTAAGCATAAGTATATATTTTAGTATTAAAAAAAGTTAAAGTTTAAGACTTACTTTTAGTAATTAAAGGTAACCTTATGCTAATACAGCTATAGTTGTTCTAGAATTAGGTTATAACATTCTATGTTTATTATATAAAGCTTAATCTGCTTCTTATAGTGTTAGTAAGTAATTATAATAGTTATAGTATAAAAGATAGAACCTTTTTTAAGTTATTTTTTATTAAATCTAGTTAGGTAAATTATTTAAGTAAGTAGTATTAATTAAAGATTTAGTTTACACGCTAGTTTTTTATTAATATAACTTATACTATTTACTTCTAAGTTAATAAAAGCTTATATTAAGGCTAATATAGTTTCTTATTATAAATATATAAAAATATTAACTTAGTACTTTTAGTTATTAGTAGGGGACTTAGCTTATAGGTTAGCAGAGATCTAGTGTTAAATTAGTCTTAAGGGGCAACTTAGCCCTAGGACAAGCCTTTTTACAGGCTTCTACTGCTATAGCTGTAGCTATGTTAAGAGTAGTAAGAAGAATTAAAGCTTAAATATAAGTTAAAGCTCTTATAAAAACAAGATTAAAATAGTAAGAATCTTTAATAAGTACTAGCAGCACTACTTATGTAGACTTAAGAAAGGGGAATAAAGTAGTTTTAAAAGATATAACTATGCTTATTATACTTAAAGTATTAACTTTTTTTTTGTAATCTTTACACTTTCTAGAACTAACTAAAGCATAATTTAAATTAATTTTTATTATATTAAAGTCTTTATTTGCAACTGCGCTAGTTTAGGGGTGTATTAAAGCTTGTATAAGAAGGAACCTTATGTTATTATTATAGGTAGTAATTAGGTTTGCATACATGTTAAGGTTGTTTAGAAGGGGTTTTTCTACTATAGCGCGTTGCAGTTTAGTTAAGAGGGAGTTATATAAAGCTATAATTAGACCTATTTTATTTAGGCCTATATTAAATGCAAGTTAGTAAAACTTAGTAAAGTGTAAAGTAAAGCTTTTTTTTTTTTATTATAAAGTGTTTAGGTAACTTAAAGCTATTAACTTTTTATTTAAGTTTTTATAAGTTACTTATAAAAACACTATAAATTAATCTAAGTTAATAATATTTTTATTTATTAGTAAGTTAATTAAGGCTGTTATGTTATAATTAAGTTAAAAGTAGGCGTATAGTAACTAAAAGTGTTTAAAGAGGAATTAGTCTATATTTCCTTTAAGTTTATATTAGAGCTTATGTAGAAAGAAAGGTAGGTCTTTTTATTTTTTATTAAACAGTAAGGGATTAAGGAGTTAGTTAGATTTTATTACTAAGTTAAAAAAGTTATAGGTTATAAGTAGTGTTAGGTAGAAAAAGGTTAAGCTATTTTTAGACTTCTAAGTAAGCTTTAAGGCTAGTAAGTTTTTAGTTCCTACTACTATAATAAAAGTTAAGGTAAAAATAAACTGCTTAATAATATAAAGCTATTTTTTAAAGTTCTTTTAAAAAGCTTTAAAGCTTATAATATAGCAGCTTTTTTATAAAGTAAGTACTTTTTAAAAGGCTTTTTAGCTTACTTTAATAGCTTAAAGTTATGCAAGTACTAAGCTTATTAGATTAAATTTAGAGGCTATTCTTAGCTAAAGTTTTAATATAACATAATGTTATAATTATGCATAAGTAAGGTTATAGAGCTTTACAAAGGTCTAGTTTAATTACTATGTAAGGTATTATAGTAAGTATAAGATGTTATGTAAGAAATAAGAAAGTTTAAAAAAAAATTAGTAATTACATACTTAGCTTAGAAGTCTAAGCGCTTTAAGTATAAATTAAGCCTATTTTAGGTTTAGTTAGTGTTAAGGCAGTTTATGCTTAAGTTTATGTCTATGTTGTGTTGTGTTTATGTTAGACGTGCACTAATAATACTCTAGTACGCGTCTAATACAGTTATGTCTGGGATCTAGGGAGGATACTGTGACAATTATTTTTAAAAAAATAATTTATATATAGCTGTAGCATGTTACTTTAAAAGTGTTATATTTTATTTAAAAGCCTAAAGTATAAACTATATTTAATGTTTTTTAAGTATGTTTAAGTAGTGTTGTTAAAAATGCATTAGTGTAAAAAAAGTAGTTTAGTAAAGTCTTAGTAAAAGTAAGGAACTTAATGTTGCAGCCAACAGACAGATCGTAATGACCCAATTAGCTGTTCCACACAGCCCAAGCGACGTCGGATGGAAGACACTTAGCTCCACGTTGAACGAATCACGTGACAGGACGGATGAGGAATGGCTCCGGCTTTTAGACAAAAGCCTAGCGGAATGCATCCTCTAATAAGACTACAAGTCTTGCAGGCTTGCAGGTTGTGCAGGCTATGCAGGCAACGAGCATGCAAGCATGCATAGCATGCACTGCATGCAAATCCCATGTATATAGTCTTGATCACGACCATAGTTAGAAGGCTGTGATTACTATTTAGTCTTTACCTACTTAATAGACTAAGAGGCATTAAAACCTTTATAAAGAGGACATTGCTGCCTTGTATATCTTGCACTATATATACCTCCTTTCCTATCCTTTTAGATTAGGTTTGCCAGCTCCCCATACAGCCGCTGGGCTAAACTACAACCTGCCTTCTCAAAACCCGATTTACCGTACTCTGCTCAACAGACTGTACACCCGATCTAGCTAAGTCCTTTTCCTTCCCTCTAACATCATCATAGGCCGTAGTGCTCCCGAAAATATCAATTCGCCGGAGCAAGGATTGTAACACTTAAGTGTGTAATTAACTTGCCTGTAGAGTACATTATTTATAAAGTTATTAATCTTAGGCGTGCGTTTAGTAAGGTAGAATTAAGGTATTAGTAGAAGTGCCTAAAAGGTCTTTTACTATTAGAGTAGTAGAGGTAATTTAGTAGTTACTAGATGTTAATTAAAACTAATGGTCCTTAATCTAGAAGCTAAATTACTATAGCTTAACTTTAAATTAGATAAGTCTTTAGCTTTAAGTCTTATAAAAGTAGGTTTAGCTATTAATTAAGTAGTTAAAAGTTAAAATTTAGTAGTTAAAAGTTAAGCATTAGTAGTTATCTCTAATTTTAATAGGTTATTAGTCTTTATATTTCTACTTTAGTGTTCTTTTTATAACTTTTTTTAAAGCAATTTTAATTATAAAAGATAGAAAGTCCTAAAATTAAGAGCTTTAGTTAATAAAAAGTTTCTAAGATTCTATTTATAGTAACTAAAGAATTAATATAATAGTGTGTAAGTATTATAACTTAAACTAAATTAAATACATGTTAGACTTAAATATAGTTAAGTAAATAATTAATATAATATTATTAATAAAGCTACTATTAGTAAAAGCAAGTTTTTTTAATATAATATAATAGCATAGGTAAGACAATAGGTTTAAATGTAGTATTAATTTACTTAAAGGAATATAAAAGTAAATAGAACCTTAGAAACCTAAGAATTCTATTAACACCTAAGGCCTTATATAAAGGATATTAGAAAACTACTAAGCTAGCTACAAGAGAGATGTGCAACTAAATACTTAAGAGAATAGAGGTACAGCAGAGGCTAGGGCAGGGTTGGAGCAGATACAAGGAACCTTCGGATATCAGCTTGTCGAGATGGAACGATTCATGCGAATTGTTACAATAGCTAGATAAATAACACACTTAGTTTTAAGTAGTTAAAGTATTTTAACAAGCATATAAAAACTTGTTAAGTAAAGTTATATAAGCTACTTGAACTAGAATTTAAAAAAATTATTACTTTATATATCTATACATTTATTACATATTTTAGCTACTTAATATAGTATGCTTTTTACTATTAACTAACGCTTAAGTACTTTTAGCATATATAAAACTTAGCACGCTAATATATGTACTTAACAATGTTGTAATAGTGTTTAGTAGAAGCAAGACAGGTGTAGGAATAGTCCTAGACTTGTCTAATAATTACAAAAGTTGTGTAACATTTAATTTAAAAGTAGATAACTAGAGAGCTTTTATAAACTAGCTCTAGTCGTTCCTTGGCTGAGATGTACCTGTCACGACTTTAAACAGGGGGCATCGGAGGTCGTCGGGCTAGTGCAATGCTGAGTCTCTGATGGCGCACCTTTGGTGTTTTATCCCCAAGTCTTGAAGTCATTTGAACCCCTCACGCATGCCGTGGGTGTTCGCTTTCGTTGTGGCCGACTTCGGTCTCGAGCTATCTCTTGGGGATTTAGCGCGGGGCAGCAAAGCAAATCAGGTGGCGTAATCAGCGGTCCGGGATCTTACGATGTTATTTGCCGAAGCTCTTCGGGCTAGATACGAGCAAGACCCTTCAGCTGAAGGCAGCAGCGAAACCCAAAATAACAAGATTCCTTTCCTCTCGAGTTTTGAATCTTCTCCGCCCGGTGTCCTCGATAGTCCGCTTACTACTTAAGCATGTAATCGTACCTAGCTGCGTATACTTCTCGAAAGAAGTGACACGATGCCATCAGCCAATTCTAAGTACCGGCATCTGACTGCTGGCGAAGCCGCCATTCTCGAGATCATAGATGAGAATCCCGAGATGCGCGGATGGGTCGAATGTGAGTTGCCCATCGCCAACCGAGAGGTAGCCAGGGGCTTTATCTCACAGACTCCGGAAAGCACTTCGAGATTCTCCTTTCGAGCAGTGCGAAACGTGCCAGATGCTCACTTTCAAATCGCTCAAATCGTTCTATGGGGGCCAAATGTTTCGTGCAAACTGGGACCAGGTGAAAGATACCGCTGTTAAGGGGTGTCACACCTGCAGAGTACTCTACTTTGCGTATATGGGCGCCAAAATAGAGGACTCTGGCTTAGTTAGGACAGCTCCGCGTCCTATTGAGCTCTGTTTGACATGGGCAAGATTGGAGGCAGGCTATTGGGGGAATCAGTTTATTTTCTGTAAAACCGGTTTCATGCCAGGTGCGGTGCACACCACTACATGTGCTCTCCCTTAATAGCTGATCCCGCGATTAGATGTGCCACTCGATGACTGCGAAAAGGAACTCAACAAAATCATAACCACGCGGTTTATCGAAGACGATCCGGGTTCAGATGGTGCCTTTGCTCTCGCAGAGAGCTGGATCTTAGACTGCGTGGCAAGCCATGACCACTGCTTGAACAACCAAAATGTCGAATTACCTTCAAGAGTTCTTGATATTGGCGAGTATATAACAACCGGAAGAGCGTATCTATTCATTTCTGGTGGTGTGAAATCGACATATGTTGCGCTGAGTCACTGCTGGGGAGGAGATGCTCCAGAGGACGGGCTGTGAGTAATCACATTCGACGTTGGCGAGCTGCCTGGCTAAAACTGTGGCCTAGTATTCGGGAGTGTACCACTAAGAACTACAAGGAATTAAGGGCCGGATTCTTCGTGTCTAGGCTTCCAAGAACTTTTCAAGAAGCGATCCTAGTCGCTAATCAATTGGGGGTTCGGTGAGTGTTCCCTGTAGGTTCTTGTAGCGTCATATCATGAATCTCTGACGTCTTCTAGATACCTCTGGATTGACTCCCTTTGTATCCTTCAGGACTCCCATTCCGACTGGAGTCATGAATCCGAGCTGATGAGCAGGGTCTACGGCAATTCCTACGTCACAATTTACGCTTCTGCCGCACCGAATAGTGACGCAGGCTTCCTGCGGTGTCGACCTCGAGACCGACGTGTAAGAACAAAACTCTGTCGTGTACCAGATTCCCTAGATCGTTGGATCTGGATACAGTGGCCCGGTGGCGAGCAGGTATGGAACCTAGATGAATCAGCAGGTCCTTTGTGGTCTCGGGGTTGGGCTTTCCAGGAACTTGTTCTACCTCCTCGAGTTCTAGAGTACGGTCCACATGCCATGAGTTTAAGATGCAATACTCAGCATTACGAGGAAGATTCCCGTCGAAACACTGGTGGCACCCACGATGGTTACAAGGAACTGCTTTGGATCATGTCGCTGCCCGACATCATCAACTCGCCATCATTGGAACACAACTCATTCTCGCGAGATCCGGGAGGTACGACAATGACTGTTTACCGGCGCTGGTACAATCTTGTGGAAGGGTTTGCAGGCCGCGAATTGACAGAAGAGACGGACAAGCTTCCAGCGATTGCCGGAATTGCCGACAAGATCCGACAAATTACTGGTGATTCTTATATGGCTGGGCTATGGAAAAATGATATAGCGACAGGGTTATGCTGGGGCGTTGGGACACGAAGGCTCCCGTCAAAATACATCGCGCCGTCCTGGAGCTGGGCTTCGACGATCGGCACTGTGCGATACCCAATTCCCGACGATCTCAAATTTAGTGTTGAACTCGTCGACTGGAAGATCGAAGCTGATCCGTTGAATCCGCTGGGCGAAGTTTCCCATGGCTTCATCACTATAGGAGCGCTAATGCGACCCTTTGATATCTCCGGTGACAATGTGCATACGCAGGAGGATTATGATCACGAAGCCCAAAAAGTCAGAGTCAATCTCAAGAGGACGAGGGACCGAAGCAACTTCAGGTACAGCCCACTGAAGTTCCCACTGAGTGACCAGGAGGAAGTTCGCGATCCTCGAGCAGGTGGTACATGTGCTATGTGGTTTGACGTGGAGCCTACGGAGGACCTGAAAGAGGTGCTGTTAGTGGACCTCAAGGCTGAAAGCTATAACATGAAGCTGGAACGACCTAGCGGATCATTTAAACCAGAAGGTATTATACTGCAAAGTGCCATGACTGAACGCTTTGAGGCAACGGGGACAGCGGTGTATAAGAGAATTGGGCTTTGGGGCCGGTCAGATGCATGGGCAGAGTGGCTGGAAGAGGGAGAAGAGTCAGCCGTGTTGGAAGGATGGAAACAGACGGATATTACGATCATTTAAGGTCCGAAAACGCTATTGATATAGGTGAAAATGTAGCATGAACAAGCCATACCTGCTCACGGGTCAGCCCGGGACATTGCGAGCTGACCTGTGGTTCTGGGTCAAACGTTTTTAGCGCCCACTACTCCCTAAGTAGCAAAAATGTCCACTTTTAATCGCCTTCATCCACGGCAAAAATACGTATAGCTAGTCTACTTATCTAGAAATAGGATTAGCGACAACTTAGAGAAGAATGGGACTATGTTATAGTTAACTAGAACACGCCTTAGACTCTCTCTAAAGAGCCCCTAGCCTAGCTCTGGGCACATGAAGTTCTATTATATGCCTTAGTAAATATGTAACCTTTCCTAAGCCCCTAACTCTCCTGAAGGATTTGTCTATTAATACTATTCTATACCCCCCTTCTGCGCTTTACGCTTCCTGCCTACAGTGCTCTCACAATTAGATTGTTAAAGTGTATGTGATTATAGTTAGTCTCTAGTTAAGAACAGCATCCTTGTTAAGACTGTTTTGTCCGCACTTTAAAGGGTAAGTATAAACGTGCTTAGGGGGCTTAAATCTAGGCTACTTGGTGCTAGAAACTAGGCTATACGTGAAGAACTAGGTCACTAAACAGGGGAGTGGCCTGAATTTAGGACGCCAGTGGTCCTAAATTCAAGCTAATCCTTGGCTTGCTTAGGCTTGTTTAGGCTGCTAAGACCTGCTCAGTCTTGTACAGCCACAAGCTCGGGTTACTTAAACCCTTGTATGCTCAGGTTCGAAAGCGGAAATGGGCTTTGGTAAGGCCAGTTTTCCCCTAAGTGTATAAGGCGGATAATGGCGGATACGGTGCGGTATGGATGAATGGGGAGCCTAGGTACCCCCTATATGCCCACTTGGTGGACTGTAGGTTTAAGCACTAGGTACTAGAGACGCAGAGATTCTCTGAGTCCATATAGAGAGCGCAGAATCTCGAAGTTCTCCCTATATTCTGTTTTCAATCCTTCAGGGGTACGGCAGAATAGTCCTGTGGGGAGCTTGATATTGAGGAAGGAATTAGAGACGTCGTATTGTTGAGATTGGTCTAAGTGCAGCCATGAGAGCTATTAGAGCTTTCAAAACGCGCGCAGCAGTGGTATCAGCGTAGGTATCACCCAATTGTTCTAGGAGGTGTCCTCGTACGTATGTTCTGGACTTGCATTTGGATAGTTAGCTGCCCTCGTTGAGTTTGTATGTGTATACCTATTAGAGGGTAGAATCTCAGTCTTGGTGGCGTGCTCGATTGTAAAGACACTAAAAGGTGTGAAGTAGTTTTTAGACCAACAAATATCCACCTCTATGCGCCTAGATGCTTCGAATCCAGCCCTATATGGGTGTTTCACTAGATCTCAATAGTGTTTTGGTCTAGGAGGTAATTGGTCTCTATGAGGCTGTTCTATGATAGTTGAGGTAGCCAAAGCTAAGAAGTAGGTGCTATATTGCTTTACGCGCGGGGCACAATTGCTGCAGATAATATTTACTTTGTCAATATCAAGAGATGCAGCATTTAGTGCATTTTCTGTTGGTGATCTTGTATGTATCGAGGGTCATGTACTGAGGTGATAGGGTCGTTGTCTGGCCTATTGTTGAGAGCATCCATTAATTCTGTTGTAAGCTACTGAGAGCTCTCGCCCTGATCTAAGTGTGACAACGCTGCAGGAGATCTAGAGCTTTATACAGAGTTCTCTGGTGTAGGACTCTGAGTAAGTGTATAGCTATTAGCGTTCTGCTGAGGCTACTCATTAAACTCGAGTTGACAGTAAGGAGAGCTTGCGTCCCACAAGCCGTAGGGAAAAAGCGGGAGCAAGGCTATAATGGCAACCAAAGAAGGTGGTGATATCTTCCGAACACTTAGGCAATGAGGGTGGAATGTTAGCGATGGATGTTTTAAAGGTTGGTGAACGGACGGTGGAAGTATAGTCAAGTAGAGCTTTGAATGCACTAATCCGTGATAGACAACCTAAATAGCGCTCATCACGGGTTGTTTCATTAAGTTGATGCGAACACCTGTGAAGCCCGTCAAACTAGATTACCAACAAAAGCAAAAGGGCATGGACAAATTTCGTGAACTTATGCAGACAGCTACAAGTTCCCACTTACTAGGGAGGTATAAACTCATTCTACTAGAAGACCTAGCGAACAGTGAAGTCACTCTGGGAAGACTAAGATCCCCACACCGAGGACTTTCTGTGAAGCCGTTGGGAGCACCAGAGAGATGAGGAACTGAATTGATTGCTAAAGGAGTGCACCTATATATGCAAAGGATGGGGCTAGGCATTAAGGTGCTGGGCAGGCAGCATGAAAATCTAATAGCCGGCAGTAGTTTCATGTAGAGGGGCGATGGTGGAGCTCGGAGAGCTCCGTAACCTTCCACACTTTCTCTTAATTCCACAACATATGAACGAGGACGGATGATGCATCAAAAGGCAGGATAACCGCCGTGGAATGGAACGTTGCGTTGTGCGATAAGATCCCTCATAAGGAATCTCGAATGCTTGGGAAGAACGTCCCAAACCAGGTAATGAACCTCTCCCATCCACCCTGAATACTGTGGCATAGAGAACTGGAGGTAGAATGGATCGAGCCTTTGGGTTGAAAGCCATGTTTTGTGGAACAATGTTTCCTTGGGACAAGCCTGAGGTTTGATTCGAGGATTTTCTAGTTTCACGAACGCTCGTCTGGATGATATATTCTCATACAAGGCTAACCTTGGAAAACTCCGGGTTTCTTACGAAGATCTAGATGAAGGTTCCTTGGTTGACTGATTCGAAGTCTATGAGACCATTTTGTCGCATGTGACTATTAAAGGAGGTGAAACTGCGTCACATAACGTAGTGTTTCATCTCAGTATGAGTCAGCGCAGCAGTAGTCGCCCCTTTAGCACTAGCGTCTTTCCTGATTGAGACTAGCGTCCTTTGGTCCTTCACTATATAGTTAGCTCGGAGCCCTCTCACCACCCGATTGACGACTCGCGCCTCTTCATATGCCCTCTACCATCTATCGGCTCTAACCGTGCGATACATTTCAGGCGGGACAGCGCTAGTTCAGAACGCCTATCAGAACCTATCTATTCCTCCATAGGTATATTATGCCGTCTTGACTACGAAGACATCGATTTCGGAGGGAATAGCGACTTCCGCGCTAGTACGATTCTAATATAATTGTGGAATATTTCGTACCTCCGTGCGTGTAGCCTTTATATGCCACAAACAGAATGAGAAGAGTATTTGTTGAAGCACTCTCGCGCGCTGAATTTCATGTTGTTGAAAGCCGTAGACGCGACATTCAGCCACCCGAAGATCTAGCCTATGAAGGCTTCTTCCGTTTCATCCCAAAGATTTGGAACATCGTTAAGGATGACGTGAGCTTGCTTTATGGTCCTTTAGACAGCGGTAAGTCTGACCAGAACTCAACCGTTCCTTTCGAAACACCTGGTTCAACTACACGCTGTATACGAACGGTTTCGGATACTCTACCTGCGCAAAAAGAGCTGGGGCAAAAAATGAGAGAGGATATTGATCTGGCAATGTCGCGTGACGGAGCACTCTGGAAGGGAGCACTGGGTTTTAAGGAAACTTTCGGATACTCTAGTGAAGACGGGCGCTAAGGTGAAGGGCATTGAAGAGATTGATAAAGCCCCAACTCCTGTTATTCGGCGAGAACCAACCTATGCTCCTCGCTCTAGTCCAGGTGGTCACGTTCGAGCACGGCCTAAGAGGGTGGGTTATGGGACAAGAGATGCAGCCAAGGAAAACAGTAAGCTGCCTCGTATTATCCGAGAGAAGTAGAAGTTCTGGGAGAATTCCAGGAACAATACAGAATGGCTAGCGCAAGGGATGAAGAAGAGAATGCAAGAGGCGCGGTGGGAGATCTACTGTGGCAATGACCTGGGAAGACTCGGAAGTCGATAACCGTGGTGGTAAATCTTCTTAAGTGATATTCATGAAAAACTGCTGGTAATTGAGCAGAAAAATCGCTATTAGAAATTCAAAGAGAGTCTCCAGTCAACCTAACTAGATGTAAAGGGGATAATGCTGAATACTTACGATTCCGGGAATTGCAAAAAGTGGTGATTTGTGCCTTGCCCCCATGAGTGATGTCTTTTTAGTGTTTCTGGGCAAAACAGGGCCTAGATTAAGTGTGACCAAAGAGAAATGGAGTTGTGCTCTCGAAATACCACGAAGTTGAAAAACAAAATCAGCCGCGGGAAATTACAAATTTGGTGACATCAGTGAATTGGCAGAGCACGAAAAACATGTTGCCCGACTTGGGTTTTGTAGGCTTGTGACCGTATCAGCTACCCAGAAAGGTGGTCGAAACACTTGCATGGTTCGGCGGCGAAGGGGTGGTTGCGGTAATGAGTGTGGGAGCAGCCAAGTCGCAATGGAGGAACTGGTGTGCATGCCTTCCCATGGCTGACAGGGTTTACAGATTCTCTCACAGTCGGAGACCGATGGCCGCCGAGAACGAATGGGAATGTGGAGTGGCACACACAACTTGGAGGACCCGAGGCAGAGGGTGAAGCAGCGAGAAGGAGCTGATCCTTTTTCTCGCTGGGTCGGCTCGGCTCGCTAGCGGTCCCACTTCCTCCCGCACAGCGTTGCTTACGTGAGACACTCAATTCAAACCCCGACGCCTTGACTTGCATTATTTCTCTTACACCTCCTGCATCACCGCATTTTTGGAACATCCATACCATGGATAGTGTTTCTTATCAATACGACCGTGCTTGTAGTGGCTCCGATGAAAGACTCAGCTGAACGTCGACCTGCCTTGTGGATTCCGGACATCTTGCTTTCGCCAAATTCCGCCTCCCTCTTTGGAGGAAGTCCCTTGTCTGATTTCTCTTCAGTTTTCCCGGGATTGGTCTTGGAGCACTTGATTATCCAATGGCATTATAGAAGGGCGCTGGGGGAAAATTTGGCGAGGATATGAATCCTCCTGCAGTCAGCATGCTGGTATCGCGCGACTTCGATCGACAAGAGTTGCTGCAAGGGAGACAGCAGAGAGTCGAACCAAGCCCACTTCAATCTGTACCACGAGGCAGCCCAAAGCTTGGCTTCGTGATCCCTCGTTTTGCGCATGTTCCTGAAGTCTAGTTCGATCCCATTACGGGTGTATCCAATGGGACAAGTGGCTGGAAGATGATTCTCGAATATCCGGTTATGCTCCCATTTTCATGTCTAGTTCAATATTCCACTGTTTGCTTGGGAGCCTAACGCCATCTTCAGTAGTTTGTTCGTTGGGCTTCTCGAAGGATTCACTTCTTTTTAGGCAAATTGGAATGCCCACCATAGGCGAGCACAGGAGGAATTCTCTCGTGTTTCAGTCACTTGCAGCGACCCGTAAGCTTAGCATACCGGCATTCTATCGCGGGGCAGTTTCCCCCCCCTAACGCCCTTTTTATGGCCTTGGAATATGAATGTGAGCTTGATGCTCCTCTTTTCTCACCCCAACCTCATATCAGTTTCGCTGTGCTGAGAACCTCGATTTTAATATGACAGATCACGGACCCCCTCAGGGTAAGGCAGCGAACATGAATGCTTCTTTTGTGTCTACATCGTTGCTTGGTATCGCTATATCCCTGCCCATTCTGGCGACGATTTCAGTCATTCTCAGGATATTCGCACGGAGAGCAAAAGGCAATGGAACTTTCCGCGCCGATGATTGGACTATTCTCGGAACGCTGGTAGGCTCCTTGCTTTTTCTACCCACGAAACTCTAATTGATTACTCAATAGTTGCTCTGCTGGGGGCACTCGATAAACACAATAGTTACTGGAGCCATTGGCGGAATCGATACGATCACCATGGCACCACGCGAATACGCCAACATTGCGCTTCGGGTGATTCCCCAATATTTGCTTTCCTCTGGAACGCTAAGCTGACTCTTTTCTAGACACTGTGGATTTCGGGGTTTTTCCTGATCACGGCACTCTATACCGTGAAGATCTCAATCCTGCTCTTCTACTACCACCTTTTCTCTATCAACGAGCGTTTTCGCCAGTCTATCCTCATCATGATTGCCACAATCAGCGCGTGGTGGTTTTCTTCACTCGTGGTGAGTACCTCTATCCTGTAGAAGAATAAGAAGTTCATTCTTATGCACAACAGTGCCAAATCCTTGCGACGGACCCAATCGACGCATCTTGGAAAAACGCCGCCCGCGCAAAACACCGTTTCAACTTCAACGCGTGGTACATCTCTTACTCCGGTCTATCGATCTTCTTCGACATTGTCGTACTCTGCTTTCCAATCCCGATGATAAAGTCGTTGCACATCAACACTAAGAAGAAGATCTCCATCTTGGGCATCTTCTGGCTAGGGGGATTTGTGTGTGTATCTGCTATCGTTCGATTTGTCTTTCTCTACAATTCCATTTATCGCCTCACCTCCCTCGGCCAAAATCAATATAGTTCCATAACAACAGCATTTATTTGGGCTGAGGTAGAACCAAACGCTTCTGTCATCGCAGCCTGTCTTCCAACATATGGACCCCTTTTCGCGGAGAACAAGTTCTTCCCTACCATTATCCACTCACTGAAATCAGTCCTACACATCCCTTTTAAGTCTCGGAAGGGCACGACGTCTTCGAATATTACACATTCGAGCTCAGGTGGGTACTACGAGCTCGACAAAACGATCAGTAATAAGAGTGTCAGTGTGGGGTTCAGCCAGAAAAGTGGAGCCAAGATTGGTGTACGAACGGAGATTAGCGGTGATATTGAGGCGCAACGACCCGGGGGCAGGGACAGGATCGGTGTTCCCAGACCTTGGCATCCGAACTAGATCGAGTGGTTTTAGGTGTTACACATATGGGTTGTCTCGGAGTTTGGTTTCTGGCTCGGTAGGTGCCGGGTAGGAGGCGTTTTGGAAGATAGGTGCCGGGAATTCATTGGTTTGGGGTTTCTCTGCGAACATGATTGTCTCTTGTGCATGAATTCAGAGTTTAGACGAAGGCTTATTGGAAGAGTAATCGAAGCGCGAGGAGTTACTGTTTGCAACTATAGCTACCGTATTTGTAACTTCAAGTTTACGTGGCACGCGTATTTCACAGGCTGTACTATGGTATGGCACCTATCCTCGTGAACGCTGGCTTACGTGACCTCCCAAAAATTAATTCTTGTTGTGCGTTGGCAAGATGCTTGCCTTTAGGATGTGTTCAATCGTGTATTTTGTAGAAAGATTTAATATTTTGAGGGCGAGTGTGAAAATACTGAGTCTCTTCCGTCTGACTAAAAATCCGATATTCTTAAGGGTGCGTAAAACCTCCAAAACCTTCCTTTAAATCACAGCTGATCAAAGCCAAGCATCAAAATAGGCCATGTGTCAGAGCTATCTCGCCCCATTTAGTCAACTCCGAAGCGCCAGGATTCAAAAAGGCTGATTTGGGAAGGCAGGGCTAGCTAAAACTAGGATTAGCGCGTGATGCTGCGCCTCTTTTAGGTCTGAATATAGCCCACCGATCCTCTCTGTGGCCCCAATGCTGATAAACAACTGATCTCTTACTTCAGACAACAAGTCGCCCTACTTTAGATGCTATTTCGAAACTCAACCTGGAAGAGCGAATGCGACATGGCTTTTGATGCAGTTGGTCCTCGTATCTGGGGTAGGGGCTACTTAAATCTGCCGCGCGCCTTCAAGATTTGGCAGACATTTAATTCACCAGGAAAGGAATCATGATACCCAACTATTCCAACACGTACTTTCCACCTCCACCTGACCGAGCGAACCCAACGAGTTCTGCTCCATCTAACTTCTCAAACACGTATTTCCCACCCCCATCCAACGCCGCAAACGCCCAAAGAGCACCACAAAGCCAAGCGCAGAGTTATACACACCAACCAAGCGCACCAGAACCCCAACCACTACCACCCCCTCCACCTCTCCCAGTAACATGCCAATATCCCATTGCACCTACTCCTTACAGGCTTGCGGCAACAGCTTCAACTTATCCGCCTACCAATACCAGCCAAGCGAGCCCGCTCCTGCAGCCCCAGATAGCAGTTCAGTATGCACCTCAGCCGGTATATCAACGTTCCCCTCAGCTAGGATACCAGTCCTCTCCTCGGTCAGGATACCAACCCTCTTCTCATCCTTCTCCTACCTTTCCATCATATTCCCCTCACGCATCTCTTACATCAACACCTCAAGCATCTCCTCGCCTAGCCCAAATACTCCCGGCAGATCTACCACCGTCCTACGAAGCATCACAGCAACTGTCACCACCTCTGCCATCTTCAAGTTATATCCAACCGAGCTCCTCCCATCAAATCGAACGACCACGGGCGTCGTCCAGTACTTCAACATCCACTTCAGCCGGCACCCGTTTCGCAACACTCTCCCTCTATGGCGCCGACCAACTCCGCTTCTTTCTGTTCCCCACTAGGCTCGAATCGCTTATTCGCGCAACAATTCTCTCCTCCTGGCCCCGAGGCATCTCCTCCTCCTCCACGACCTCCGTATACCTCGACTTCAGGCTTAAAGGGCTCCCCTGGGGCACAAGCACTACTGAGATGAGGCTCATCCGTAACGCCATGGGAGATTATGGAGTCGAGCAGAGCATCCAATCTAAGCGACTTGTCTGCTCAATATTGGCGGCTTTGCGTAGGGAGGGATGGATGTTAACGCTGACTACAGACATTAGCAAATCGCCCCATGATAAAGACACGCTCGTATTCCAACACCAGACCCCAGCTCCTGCGCCTTGCGACTGGATCTCCATTGCCTTCTCCGGAACCAACCGTCTCCGATTCATCGACGCGCCAATGGAACTCTGCGAAGCCGTGATAAAGCGGTTAGGGAAAGCAGTCGAAAAGCACAAACGTATTCCGCGAGTAGAAGGTGCGTACGAACTAAAATTGCAAGGTGTTGGATGGGGCGTATTGGTTGACGATCTGAAAACAAGATGGTTGGTAATGGATTTGTTGGAGGTTATGGAAGACTGGGGTTGGAGCGTTTATGCAAGCGTGGATCAAAAGCTAGGATTTGAGGATAAGGATTCTTGGCATTGTTATAGGGTAAATGGGTAAGGTTAAGGATGCGCTGGTGTATCATAACTAACTTTGAGGGTGGAGAGTGCCACGGGCCGGGATAGTTCTTATGGCAGTTTGGGCTTCTTGGTAGGCCACAGAAATGAATCACACGAAACTAAGGGCTACGAGGCTTGTATGATACGAAAATGAAGAGGCCAGCATTGACATGGGCGTCAGGGAATTGCTATCCGTTTCTACTTCAAAGTAGAAAATACACATATGTACAGGTATCGATGGGTTTTCATATGCGCGTGTTAGTGAAGTGAGTTCTCTTCTGTAACAATTTTTGCACTCACAACCTCGTTGATGGAGTGACCCGTGCAAGAGTCATAAAAGTCAGAGCTACGCTAGTCTAATCGTGGTGTGGTTCGGAAACCATCATTCACATTTCGAGTGGGCCACCTACCCTAGCACAGCTCCTCAATTCCATGAAAAATTAGATCTCGAAAGAGTACGGTCACCAAATCCGGGCAGGACGCTATACCTCAGCGCTGCACCGGCTCTTCAGGATTTGCATTCATTCCGCCAACTGTCGACCTATGGAATATGCATATCCCAACCTCCACCTCCTTGCCGTTGAAGTCTTCGCACGCCTACAGCGTCAAAGCTTTCTTCTGAAGCAGCAATACTACGAGAGCAGGAGCGCCAAGGCGCAAACTAACGCGCCAGAAGAGAGCTGGGCAATTCTTCACGACAGGCAGTTGTATATGAAGAATACCCAGAAAAGCATTCAGAGGTTTCTCCCACCAGGGAACCGGTGGTCAGCGGTAATACTGCGCGACTATCGCACGCTTATGGAACAGGTTCGCGTTGTGCAGGGAGATTTATTAAAGGGTTTTTACAAAGTGCGCTAGCTTTTATAACCTTGTAGTGTATAAAACGCGCTTAGTCTAATGTAAGCTTTAAAGCTAAAGCATTTAAAAGTTTTATATAGCTAGCTAGCCTACTTAATAGTTTACTAGCGATATCTTTTATAACTTAAAGAAATTTTTTTTTTAAAATTTAAGTTAATGTACTTTACAGGCAAGTTACTTACACACCTAAGTTGCTTACTTTTACTAAGACTTTACTAAACTACTTTTTTTATACTAATGCATTTCTAATAACACTACTTAAATATACTAAAAGAATGTTAAGTATAGCTTATACTTTAAGCTTTTAAATAAAATATAAAACTTTTAAAAAAAATACTATAGCTATAGATAAAGTTTTTTAAAAAATAATAAATAACTATAGCACTAAATAACTTTTATAAGCTAATTTTACAGTAAACTTATAAAGGCTAAGTAATAATAAAAAGTAGGTAATTATTAAAACTATACTTAAGCTATATATATAAGAATTTTTTTTAAACAGTATTTATAGCTAATATAGCTAATTCTTTACACACTAAGCATAATCTAGGCTATGTTAGCATAAACTAGCTTTATATGTTTAAAAAGTATTATCTAGAGCTTAAAGTAATATTTAAGTATAGTATAACTATAAAAAAGCTTTTTATAAAAGTTTTAAAGTAATTTAAAGTAAGTTTAGCCTTATAAAAAATATTAAAGCTAAGTATAGCTTTTAAAATAATAATATGTATAACTTTAGTAAAATAAGCTTTATTATAAGCTAAATATTTATTAGTAATACTTATACTTAAAACTTTACTTTAAGCTTTAAATAACACTTTATAAATATACTAAGCTAGTTTATGCTAATATAGCTTAAATTACACTTAGTGTGTAAAAGATTAGCTATATTAGCTATAAATGCTATTTAAAAGGAAAATTCTTATGTATATAGCTTAAGTATAGTCTTAATAATTACCTACTTTTTATTATTACTTAGCTTTTATAAGTTAGCTATAGAATTAGCTTATAAAAGTTATTTAGTGCTATAGTTATTTATTATTTTTTAAAAGACTTTATATATAGCTATAGCATGTTTTTTTAAAAGTTTTACGTTTTATTTAAAAGCTTAAAGCATAAGCTGTACTTGATATTTTTTTAGCATATTTAAGTAACGTACCTAACAGGTTGGCCGGCTACACAGGTTAGCCGGCCACTTTTGCTAAGCCCCTACTAAAACTACTCTATTCTAGCGCAAAACAGCCTACTTTAGCCCTATATAAAGTAATATAACATAAGATATTATTTAAAGTCTACTTTTACTACTTACTTACATATATGTAAGTTATGCCTAGTTTAATTACACTACTTATATTACTTTTAACTTAGCTTACTTTTTTTAGTGTGCATTTATGTCTTTAGCTTTTTTTTATTACTACACACTTTAAACTTTTTTAAAGTAGTTAAATAAGCTTTATTTTTAACTATTAAAGTTTTTTTTACTTAAAT